GGCACATTTCTTGGACAGGTATATTCCCATCCTAACCAACACTCAGATAGTGCTGGCTGGTGCCGTGGCTGGGGTGCTGTGATTGGGGGTGGCCATCACATATGATGCAGCTGAGTAGATAGAACTGAACTGGCTTAGAGCATGGGTGAGTAGGCATGCAGCTGGATGTACCTGTCCACATACAAATTGTCTCTGCTATGTGATCCATGAGATATAGTGGGTACCCGTGATTTTCAGGGGTTTCTTCCTGACTGTAAGACAAGGATCTCTCTTATGTTCCTATTGGCAACCCAAGAGGCACCCTTAAATCCCATAACTGATTCAGACCTTGTGGAGTGCTGGTGCTGCTTAACCATGCCCATGCAGGAGGAATTTGAATAGATAAAGAAAGGAGACCAAACTGTATATAAGAAAGCAAAACAAGGACTTTATTCCATTGAAATAATATGCAGGAGCTCACAAAATAGCTGTTTACATTATCTTGTCTCGATTTTACTGATTTGCTGTGATCCACAGTGTATTTGATTGCCCTTACATCTTTCTTATGTATGTAACTTTGACTTACAGTGAGCTCAGTAGAACAACATGATTGGAAATTGTTATGCAACCTAAACTGGAGAAAGTTGTTAATGTAGGTCTAAAATAGCCTCAAACTACTACAGTTAGAATGAAGAAACTTTCTGACATCACTTGAGTGACCACCCTAAAGGAAGGTCACATCATGCTGGGAAGTGACTTAGCCTGACAGAGTGGAGTTATTTCAGACTGAAAAAATAAAACTGTACTAAGCAACTCAAAATATAATATAGTTTTGTATAGTTATGTTAATTTTCTCTGTTTTGTTCTCTGTAGTGGGCTTGCTTCCTTGCAATGATTGTCTGCCCTTGATCTGAAACCTGAAAAGTCACTTTTAAAGCCTGTTCTCAGTGAAGACATGAAGTCAGTTACCAGCTTAGAGGTATTGCCTATTCTTTCCTATTTGCCTTTCTTTTATAGACATATGTGTGCATGTGTATACATATCCATATATTTCATATCCATATCCATATGGATATATCCATATCCGTATATTTCAAAACCAAAACCAAACCAAAACAAAAACAAATAAAAAAATATTTGTGCCCTGCTGCAGACTGTCTTGGAGGGAGGCTTCATGTCCATTTTTAGGGCATTAGCATTAAGAATTAAGAAAAAGAAGCTGGTTATGTGTTAACCACACTCAAAAGAATATGGTTCACTGTCTGCCTGGCAAAAAATAATTTGGAGATTTGTCCAAATAACGCTTAGGACACGTGTTGAATATCCTTCAGTGTTGGCTTGGGATTTACCCTTCTGGGGTTTGCTGCACCCAGCAGTCCAGTAGAAGCAAGGCTGCCACAGTTCCATGCCCCAGGTCCAGCCAGTAACGAGGCTGAGCATGTAATCACCCCCCACACACACCCCTACAGCACCTCTATATATATACTCATGGTCAGCCACACCAGTCAACACAGACACACTCAGCACTAGGGCTAATGCAAACAGCAGTGATGGCCTCATCTTGTTGCCCTCTCTGCCTGACCAGGATAACTTTTGTGCAATTCCCAAATGCACTTCCCTTATAATAAACCCACACACCTGGAAGTAACCCCTCAGTCTGTGGTGATCTCAGGACACCACAGATCCCAGTCTCCTGCAGACTCATGGTGGTGGCTGTCACCCCAGACCTGTGGGGCTGATGCCCTGGGGTACCAGGGCCCTAGAGATCCTTATGTCCCTGACAAAGTTATTGGGGTGCCCCCTGCCTGGCACCACACCCTTCTGCTTCTTCATGCCTGAGGAGAGCAGCTTCTTATCACACACCTCAAAGTGTAGCAGTGCTAATTCACTGCCTACAGGAATAACAATGCCAACAAGATTCCTGAGCAGTTTTCAGTTAAAAATTATATTCTGTCTCTTCATAATTTCCCATTTTAATATAACATTTTTCATGACTTAAGCAAATGTGCTGAGGTGCAGTACGCTATTAACTAATTGCTATGCTTCCTCCAAGAGGTGGCTGCATGTCTGTAGAAGTGTAATAATTTGCATATGCTTATAAAATATTTTGGAACTGTAAAAGTGCTGTGTAACTCTTCTCTACTCTGTTTTTTCATCAGATTTTTTCATCAGATTTTCAAAGCTGACTATTAAACTTCAGAAAAAATAAAATATTATCTTGTGTTCAAATTCAGTAAGGAAGATGAGGGATTTCATGTCTACAGGCAGGTCAAGTGCTTGTCAGATTTAAGAACAGCACTATGGAACTAAAACGAGATTGATGTCATTAACACTGAAGGAAATGTTCTTCATTCTCTGACTCCTTGCCTTCAGTTTTTTACTTTTTTTTTTTTGATACTCATTGCTGCAATATGAAAACCTCTCTTAAACAACTCTGAGATCTTTTTTTCCCCTAGATTGTGTTCTGATAAGCATATAATTGCACTCAAAACCCAAAAAGACCATGATTTTCATTAGAAATTTAATTGTGTTAACTCCAGAATCAGTGCAGTGTAAATTAGGCACAGGTGTAGAGCAAAGAGAAGGTTTCTTTACCTAAAGTGATTTCCTTTCTCTATTGAAGAGCTGCATTTCAGGACTCCAGACTTTGGGAAGATCTTACTTTACGACTAGAGAGTGTGTGTGCATATTTGTAATTGATACAGGCAATGATTTATTGCCATTTTTCTTTGAAACGTCTTAGTAAAATGGTCTTTTGCTGGAAATGCCCATCATGTGCTGCTGATTCTGCAGCTCTTTTACAGAATCCTTGAACTCACGGGTTTGGTTTTAATCAGGTTTGCTCTTTAAAATTAAGGCAGCACATAAATAATCTTACAGCATTAATTCAAAGTAGTTGTCATACTTGTCAAATGTCTGTAGTCTGCACAATTAAAGGCCTGTGGGGAGAAGTTGGGGAGGGGGGAGCACTGTTTGAAAGAGAATTTACAATGAAAGAGAGTCTTCTCTTAAACAATCAACAGGACACTAATGAGGTCAGGATTAAGCAGAAAAGACTGGATATTTTTGCTTGGTTGTTAATACAGGAATGCTTGAGCTTTATCAAGAAGAAAAGAGGAAGCTTAGATATTTGCCTGCTTCCTATACACAGCAATTGGTCCCTCTTCAGTACTCTGTCATGTTTTCCCCAGGGTAGCTTTTAAAAAGCAGTGTGTCTCTAGAGTTCCTCATTAAGCTTCATGTCCTTAGTCTGAAATTTACATTCCTTAGAGCTTTTTGGGGGAGGGAGAGGGATTGCATTTTTGTTTTGTAACAGCCTTTTTTTTTTTTTTTTTTCCTTTTTTGGTCTAAATCTAGGTCTTACTTTCAGAAATCATTACAAATAAAAATGTATTTGATGTTATTGATGAAAAGCAGCAGAAATGAAATCTTTCATAATTTGTCTTGAAAACTCTTGCTGAAAAAAAAAAAAAAAAAAAAAAAAAAGCCCTTTCTTAATGTGGCAACCCGTTTTTCAATATATAGTATGAGTAATGAATAGTCATTCTTCTTGCCTCGGGGATGCTGGATAATAATACACAGAGGATTTGCTTTATGATCATTTAAGGTGTTTGGGTACAAGTACACATTTAATCAGTCAGTTTTCTGAGTAGACATAGTAGAATAAAATGCTTTCATAGAAGATATACCTTTAAATATTTACTGAGGGTTGGTGGGATATGGTGTAGAGGAGTTGGTCATCGTATTATTAGATAAAATCTTAAGAGGATCATCTCCCTTTCATAGGATTGATTTTTATCATGTTGGCTCTGCATTTTATGTTCTTCCTTCCAGAACTCTCCCTGTGGTTCTGACGCTCTCCCAAGAAGCAAAAGACAAAAGATATTTCTTCCATTCAGATTTTATTCTGGTTCTTGTCAGTTTCTTTAAATTTTTTTTTTTTTTTTTTTTTTTTTTTTGAGATTTTGATGATTCTGGCATTTCAAGGTGCTTTGTGAATGAGACATGAAGAGAAACACAGTATCTGTGGAAGAAAATGGATCAAGTAAATACTGAATAATAGTTTGCATCGCATAACTTTAAACATTAGCTCTTAGTTTTTTTCAGAGCTCTGCATGAGGTTGTTGCCACACCAATTCTTTAAGTAAAACTCTGCATGACTCTTCTCGACATAGAAAATATTGAGCTGCTACTGAATGAGGAAAGAAATACTGTTCAAGTCTAAGTGCCATTAACTTTTTTGCGTTGTTTTCTTTAGAGGTCATATTTTATCTCAATGTCCAGAAGCTGTAGAAAAGAGTAATATCCAGCCTGAACTTTCAAACTTAGTTTCCTAAAGTAAAACTAAATTTCTGAAAACTGCTCCATGTATTTTCAGTTCCTTAGTGACTTACTGAAACTGAAAACATTGAATGAAAAATATGCAATTTTAAATGTGATTGTTCACAGAAGTGTGAACTTGTCACAAAAGTGATTGTTCCCTAGAGATCTCACATTGGTATATAGCACATAGTAAGGCAAAATTTTGCCTGTAGCAAAGTCTTGTTCAGTGGGCTTGCACTCAAATGCCTACCAAAAGTCTCCATGAGTTACTTTGCTTCCAGATGGAATAAGAGTGTTCATTCTTATTAGATCAGCTTACTCCACTATGTAGTAAGACAGTTCTTAATGCTACCTCAAGTGACCTGATCTAACATAACATAGAAAGCTGGTTATTTTTTTTCCTCTCTGATCAGCCACAAAAAAAAAGTGAATCAAGTCTGTGATGCTCATTGAGAACTCAAATCCCTTTTTTCAAAACCCAAAGGCCTGTAATGCCTCTATCTTACCAATAATTGTGTCCTAACAAAAAATGTCAGAGACACCATTCTACTCCTTTCCATGACAAGAAGTGTCACTCCTACTTCATTTGGAATGAGCAAGGTTGATTTAATCGATCTTAATCCTGAGCCAACTTGAAAAAAGAAATTAGATTGTCAAGCAGTATTGAACTAGAGACATACCATAACTATCGTTTTACAGGTTTCATTGTTATCTGCCTGTTATCTTACAATTCTTCCAAGTCACTCTGTAAGAAGGCTGAAACACAGAGCATGTAACAAGGTAGGCAGACCTTATAGGGACTCTTGTCCATGGGACAAACATTTCTTCAAACCTTCCTCAAGCACTCCTTTGAGAAGAGGGGAGGGAGTGGGGCCACGTAAAAGCTGAGTTTAGTCTTGTTTCTGCTCTAACATGATTGTGTATTCCTTTGCAGTGTTGGATAAAATAGTTGGCAGTATGGTCCCTTTGACTTAGCATTAGCCCTTCGTGTAAGGGATCTTGAAGTGGTTTCATTTCATAACATGTTCCTCATTAATTGATGTTTTATTGTAATTGTCTTCCAAGACCTCTTAACTTCAGAACACTACAGTTCATTGTAGAAGAGCACCCTGGGCAATACTTTGTAAGCACAAATGATTTGGTTTTCAGCCATAAAACAGAGTAATACATCCTATATTGAGAAACAGCTGATTGTGTTTAAGGCAACTTAATAAGTTGTTTGTTAATGTAGTTAACACCCCAGACTGCATGTGTTTGGACTGCGTTCTCAACAATGAATGACTGTTCTGTTCTCTGTGAGATTAAGGCATTTTTAGGATACTAGTTAACCACAGAATTAAATCCCAGCAGTTATGTAAAGTTGCATTTCTATACTTGTTCAAACTCAAAGGTTGTTCTGGTTAAGTAGAATAGCTTTCCTGATTATTATCTCCCTAGTGGTAGACTGTTAGCTTGTTCATGTTTACTGTTAATCAATTTTTAAATTTCTGTTTATAGGTTCTGTGACTTCTTCAAAAGAGGTATAAGTGAGGTTCAAAACAGTTTTGTCATTTGGTTAGTTTGACCTAAGTGGTAATGAACAGCTTCTTCCAAGTGTTCTTGATTACAGTAGAATCAATGTTAATTTTTATAAGCAGTTGTTGTGCTAATTTATAAAATGCAAATGAAGTGATGTGGCTTGATTCACAGAAAGGTGGAGCTCAAAACTACAGCTGTTAATTTGAACAACACCCAAACACCTTTTGCAACAACTGACTTCAGGTTACATGATAAAGACAAAGTTCTATGAGGGTGTCACAATGTCTTGCTTTTTTCCTTAAAGTCTCTTATTTTCTTCACATTTTGCTGTTCATTAGTTTTTACTCTCTGGGAGAGAAGAAAAGTGTTTTAGTTGGTTGGGTTTTGTTTTCTTTGGTGCTGTTTAACCGGAATGGAAAAGGTGTTTTTGCTAAAAACCTCACTTGTAAACTTTTTTCAATAGAGAAGACAGACACATTTTCTTATCTTAAAAATAAAACAGAAACATCACCAAAAAAAAATAATCACAGTGTCTAAAACCTCTTTTTTGGTGGCAACTGCTTGTTAGATGTTGAAATAATATGCATTTTTTTGTTGTTGTTGTTTGTTTTTTGACTGATAGTCCTGTTTCCTCGGTAATACAATTGATGTGATTAGTATAATTAATAAAGAGGCCTGTATCATTCTAGTATAGCATAGGTACTCTAAATTTGGAGAAGATGCCAATTTTCAATTTATTTTTTGTTTGTTTGTTTTTGGCATCTTCCTGTGATTGTAATGTTTAGGTTATTTATAAATTTGATAAAACCAGTTCTTGATATAAATGACTAGCCAGTGAGTTCTTTGAAGACTATTAAGACTACTGAGGTATGGCAAATAAGAACATAAGAATTTTTTTTTTTATAACTAGGAGTGATTAAAAAAAAATAATAATGTTTGTTTCAGATGAATGCTTTATGAAATACCTGAGGTAAGACAAAGGAAGGGAGCATATAAACGTGGTAGGAGAGACAGAGGATAGTGGCAATAGTGACACTGTTTTGAGCATATTTGAACATTTTTTATGTGTTTAATTAAAATATATATATATAGATATTCTACAAGGGAATGCCTCGGGGTTGTTTTGTGATGCTTCAGTGCACATATAAGTACAGGTTTGCTCTTCTGCTTTTTAATTTGGGCCCATCAGTCATCTTCTGCCAAAACTGATTGTAAAGGAAAACTGGGATTTTGACTAAATGAATGGTTTCATAACTATTGTCTCCTGTCCATGGAAATCTCCAGAATTTTTAATGGAATACTAAATTAATGTAAATTGGCTTCTACATCTTCCTACTGAACAATGCATCTTGAGAAATCTATTCTAGCTTAGAGGGGACAACGGGAGCATATGAATCACAGCATCCATTCAGCATCAACATTTTTATTTTGATTACATTTTAAAATTCATCTTTCTTAAAAAAAAAAAAAAATCCATATACATTTTCTGATCAGCTTAAATTTGAAAAAAGGTGACTAATTCATGTCAGAGTACTACAAAATGCAAGTGGGGTGTTTAGTGTTTTTTTTTTTTTTTTTAAAAAAGGCATTTTAGAAGTATCTATATTTCAAGCACATGAAATGACTTCTGGTCATCTATCTAACATAACGCAAGACGGAAAGCATTAGCAAGCCAAGTTTGTGAATTATCAGCAATTATAATTCATAGGCCTTTTTCCTTTTTTTTTTTTTTTTTCCCCAGGCAGCTCACAGGCCTCTGATCTATTTATGTCTTGCTCTTTCTCCTTCAGCAGGATCTCCTGTTGTTGTTTTGCTCACCAATGTTGTTTGTTTGTTTAATTTACTTGAAAGAGATCATCTTCTTGCTTATATTCAAGAACTTGTATTTTTAAAGAGCACTGTTGTTCTCAGAGGGTAGGGCTTATCCCTTGAAAATATTGCTTTAGGAGAAATTTCAAAGACTATTGGTACTTTCTTTATTTGTGTTATTTCAGCTAGGCTACATATTTGGGTATGATTATGGACACTCAAATTAGTGACTGACAGACTTGACATGTGGGTAGCTGAAATGGACAGACAAGCTTGTGTCAGACAAATTGAACGTTATGTTCTTAGTGTAATTTTTTGGAGGTGGATAAGCCCATTGAGGATGTTTAACAGCATGAGATCTATACTTCTAATTCCTGATCTTGACCATATTCCTGCCTGTTCAATGACAAAAGGAAAAGTGAACAGGTGCAGGAAGCCAGCACAGATGATACGCTCTTTGTTTGTGAGTGCACAGATGTGTTTTATCCTCATTTTGATGGAAATTTTATTCCAGGAAAGGATGTTCTCAATTTATTATTCATAGTTTTGGATGATCAGAGTAGCCTAGAAAATGCTTTCCCAAATGAGTTTACTCTACTATCAGAACCTGTATGAATGAACTTTCAAGTTTTAAAAGAAAAAAAGGCAAAGTACAAGTGTCCAACACAGGAGATGTTCTGCTCTGTGTGCATTTAAGCAGGAACCAACACCACTTGTAATAATACACCTTTGTAGGATGCAGTGGAATGGCTGAGCAGTTTCTGCCCCATGTTTCAGCCCCCAGTTTCAGCTCTGAATCGTTCTACAACTGCAGTCTCTGCACAATTTGATTTACAGCTCCCTGCCTGTCTACTTTGATGGCAAGACAAAGTTATAAGAGCACAAAAAAGAAGCAGGTCTGTTGTGTGTATTACTGTATAGAAGTAAATAAAAACTCATGACTTTGAAAATAAGGGGTTTGTTTCTGAAGCTGAAGACAACTTTTTTTTGTTGTTATTGTTCTTTTTATTGTTATTCATTACTTTCCTAATTGGCTTTTTTTGTTTGTTTGTTTTCTTTCTGAATACTGACTATGTAGTGAAAACACTGAATTTTGAAACTCTAAAAGACCATATGTCTTTAAAGTGTTTTTGATACTGTAGCAGAATTATAGGCTTTTTGAGATGAAACTGCTGCTATTTTCATAGATGAAAATCAAACTTGCTCAAGGTGTCATTGGCTTATTGTGCAGCCATTTTCAGCTTGCCTGGGTAAAACATATTCTCTCTTTTTCCTCTTCAGGCACTAACTGTCAAAAGCTGTGCTGTAGTTAAGTTTCCTCCTCGGTCATTTCTGATATTTCCTTTCATCTCTGGTTTCTTTTTTATACCTTATAATCCACCACATCTAGTGTTTTTAAGGCACCAGGTCTGAGCAGCAGGTGCCTGTACTGGACAGTGGGGTTTGGGGTAGGCTGCAGGGCAGCAGGCCACTGTGCCACAATATGGCGCTTCCACTCAGACAACTCAGGAGAGGATGGTAGCATTGGCTGGGGTAAGTGATACAGGGTGACACAGACTGGAGGAGATACAGCTGGAGACACACTCTTGGAAAGAGACATGCTGTGCCAGGAAAGGCACACCCTGAGGGGCGGCAGCCATGGGCAGCCCACACCAGGACGGGGACACCCTGAGGGACTGTGGCCGTGAGTGGCCCACACCAGTGCAGAGACACCCCAAGGGACTTCAGCTTGTCACACGCTGATGTGGGTTGCTCCTGACACAGCAGTGCTACTCATTTCATTTAATTTTTGATTGTAAAGTTTTGTATTCTGGACCACTCTGACATGTTTGAACTCTGAAATGTCTTTTCAGTTAATTGCTTTTTAAGTTGTCTTTTAGAGTACAGTTCATGTTATTTCAAATTCCCATCTTATTCTGAGGTCATATTCATTTAAAAAAATAAAGGAGAGAGTAGCACATTTTCAGACAAGATATTCATAGCAAGTGAGCATTCATAAGATCAAATCAGTGTTTGCAGAATGGTATGAGTTGTTTATTTTTTATTTTTTTTTTTGGAACACTTTTTAACTTTGGCATAAGTGAAGAAAGAGAGAGATATGTATTCCTGTATAACAGAAGTCACATTCAAATTTAGGCATTTCTACTGTGTTCAGGGTGAGATTTTCCTAAGTCATCTGCTTAGCAGCAGAGCATCATTCTTCCCTCTGTTGTCCTCTGTCAACTCTACACTCGAACCTGTTCTCAAATAGCAGAAACAAGTATGGAGCAGTATGCTAGTATGGAGCAGTAGTTGTGTACACATACAAAAGGCAGTGAAAGAGATTATTCAATATATTTACTTACAACGGCTTTGTGGTATTTTAGGATTTCTGCAGCACTTTCCTGATCAAATCTTGTGTCAATTCAAACAGTTGTCTTTCTCTCTCATCACTCACTCTCAAAACTTACAAGTAGCAGAGGAAATGCTTTTCTCTTGAATAGAAGGAACCACAGTAAGCCATTTCTTCAGACATACCACCTCTGAATTGGACTTTAAGAATATTTTTCCTCAGTATATATTTTCACTCACGTTGGTTCAATGATTCAGTTCAAAGGATGGCCTCACAAACGTTTCTCGTTAAAGTGAAAGAGGCATCCCTGTACTTGTAAAGGATGTAGGGGAAAGAACTAAGAATTCCTGCTACTCCTGCTAGAGATGCTTTGCTATGGTACTGCAGCCTTCCTATACAATCGTTTTCTGTTGGCTAGTGTTCAGCTTCATATGGAAGAGCAGATGGAAGTGGCTAAAGGGATAATTAGGTATGGAAGCCATAGAAACCAACAGTTGTTTTTGTAGTCTTTCAGGTGCAGTTTGCAAAAATATGGGACCTCAAATATTCAATCTTCAGTCTTGTGCCATATCATGTAACAGCTCTTGAAGGCCTGCCTTTCTGTGTTTGCCTTTTGCCTCTATCTATCATCTGTTCACTTCACTTTCAAGTCAGGTGCTTAAGTTGGCATTTTCTCTTCCCTGCTTCTCTCTTTGAACATCTGAAGTTCATGTTTGTAGAGATGCTGTTTTTCCAGCAGGAATGCTCTAGCAGTCTGGACTTCCTCTTCATATTTGGCTGTCTGGCTTAACAGCTGCAGTTTGATAGTTATTACGATTAATTTAAGTATAAAATAAAGGCTTCACTGTGCATTGCTGGGCATTTTACACCTAGCTGACAGAAATAGCACCTTTCTAATTACAATGCCATTCTTGCACTGCTGTGTCTGACCTTGCTTATAAATCTGAGTCAGACAAGCGTACAGGAACCTTTAATTTAGAAACTGTCACCATTCCCAAAACACACAAATCAGAATTGCAACCTTCATTGATTTGAAAGGGAAAATTCTTCTTCTTAATGACTCAAATGTAGCCTTTTGTCAGAAAGGAAAGAATAACATCAGGAAAATCAGCATGCAAAGGCATAATTTCATGTGGAAGAATACATTATTTTGTTGTCTTGTAAGTATTGGTACTTGTTTAACTCACAATATGTTTATAAATAATAGCTTGATCCTGAAGTCAGGCACACATACCTACAAACCACCACCTACATACTCATTTAAAATAATCAAACTTAATTTTCTGTGATGTATACCATTTGGATTTGGAAGAAAAAAATGCTGCATACAATTATCTGATGTCCTATAAAATATAGCCCAGATTCAAAGAGAAACTTTTGCAT